GGGAAAGAGATCTTAGCATGGACTAAAAGATTGACCATTATTGCCAGAATTGCTTTTAGGCACTAACTCAGTTCAAATGGCCATACACCAATTAATTTCTGTGTTTCCATTTTCTCCCTTAACAAAAAAGTTTAAAGTCGTAATAGTATTAATCTATTGCACAACAGATGCTTATTGTTTCCAGTGTGTAAATTCTACAGAAACAGTAGAATACATATGCTTTTTTGCATACTGTGAATATTGAAAATAAGTGGACTAACCCTTTAAAGAACATTAACATATACTTAAGTTGCTTTAAATGGCTATTCCTGATATTGCTCAAATCAGTACATTGAATCTTACTTTATACAGAAGCACAGATGAATGTGGTAGCTGTTAATGTGCACTCCCTATGTAGTTGTTTCTAAAACTGACTAATACTTCACAATAATCCACAGGTACTAGGTATTATTTATGCAAAGGAAGTATAATAAAAAGAGGTACCTTTTAATGGTCTTTTAACAGTCAATGAAATCAATGAGGAAATGAAGATTCTTGGGGAAAAAGCACTATTAAAATGCTAGTGGACCACAACTGAAATAGATTTTCTGGCAAGAAAGCTGTTTAAAATACTTAATTACTTATCTGTCATTTCTGTGGCCTCCAAGTTGTTCTGCTGTGATAGAGTTGTTTACAATGGTTGTTTTTATAAGATTTACTCATGCATTTCATCTTTCCTCACTGGTTATAAAGTGTGAAGATTGTTGCTCATGTTCATCGCTCCTAACTGCCAGTTTAATTTTACCTTTTAATATTAGAAAATCAACTTAAGCAGATCTAAAAATTACATTTATGGATTGCTGGAAGCACAGAGCTGTTTTGTCCTGTGTTAGTTTCAGACATATATATTACGTTCTGTACTTACGTTATTGGGATATTGCATCATTACTTGCATCTGTAACGCAGAACTCCTTCATTTTTGTTCAGCAGATGGTTATGTATTCCTGAAGGTTCTGCTGGTAGTCATTCAGTCTTCTCATTCTCACGCTTTTCTGTCACCTTTTTCTGTGTATTTAATGCTTCTTAATGCAGAATTCTCATTACAGTGAAATCCCTACAGGGAGCATGTGTAAAACTGTTAGCTGTCTTTTAAACTATGTAACTGGTGTATGTACCTGCTGTAAGGACTTGATTAAGTTATAGCTGATGTCCTGTAATATGGGCCTGGAAATATGCTTCGCTTTCTTCTTGTAACAAGACAAGTACCTAGGTCTTGCATTAGGTTAAAACAGTGGAAAAACAGGTTATCCATGTTTGTGATTTATTGGCAGTAGCAGTAATGCTGGAAATCTTTATGGACTTTTAAACCTTTTTGTGTCCAGATATATTTGTAGAACTAGCCTTAAGTGCTTCAGTAATACTTCAAATAAAAGTAATATTCACTGCTAAACCTTTTAAACATGCATGTTCATTTTAACAGATGGGTTCTACATAATGTCAAACATACAGTATGTTTTGTCCTGTCTTCAGGTGCATGCTTTCACAACTGTATAGGCTTTCATGACCTCCCCCAGGCCTTGTTCTGCTATTTACCTTTCTCACTTCCCTCAAGATCAGTTATTTCCTGGTCACTGAGGCAGGATTGTCTTTGTCTCCCAACCAATTCTATCTGATTCATTATTAGGATGCTCAGGGGTGCAGCCCCCTTAGTCAGCTTGTCCAGCATCTACATCAAAAGTTCTCCCCAGTGCATTCCACAAGTCTGAATTGCTTGTACCTCTGTTTTTATCTCTCAAGCAGATACCGGGATGGTTAAAAACCTCCATGACACTCTGGGCCTTTGACTGTGAGAGTTCTGTTTAAAGAAGGCTTTATCCACTTCCTCTTCTTGATCAGACAGTGTAGAGCAGGTGGCCCCTACAATGTCCATATTTTTGGCTTTTTTTCCAATTCTGGCCCAAATGCTCTTGGCAAATCTGTTACCTGCTCTCCAGCTCTACGCATTTGAGCCTCTCCTCCCTTTGTTATAGCATTCTCCATTCTTGTCTTTATTACTCCTTCCTAAAGAGCCTGCATCCACAGGGTCTCATAATGCTCAGTAAGAAACATAAATATATCAGTATTTTATTTGAAGGAAAAATTAATGAAACACTGAAAATATGGTTTAATGCCATTGGCCATTCTAATATAACCCCTTTCCTTAGCAACTCTGTTTTGTGAAAACAAACTTGCTACTTCGAAACCACTTGGGTTCACACATCCTTGAATATTTCATAGTGTGATAGCAAAGATGTCTCTTATTTCAGTCATACCTCTGTTCTACGTTTTGGAGACTTTACTGAGCAACCCTTTCTGATTATTTAATTAAGTTTTTAAATGTGAATTGTTTTCTTTATGAAGTGACTTCTTATACAGTGAAACAATTTGATAGTGGTTGGTTTTCAGCATGCTTAGCTGCTGTAACTTGGAATTGTAAACCAGTATCAGATCCTTCCTTGGCTCCTTAAAATGTTTGCTCAGTTATGGTTTCTTTATCCCTGATCTTGAGTTTTATGTGATGCTTAGGTACCCAACTTACTTTGTTGTAAATTTAAATAATATGTTGTTTAATCATCAGATAGAGAGCTTCAGCACCTCTCTCAAGCACAGAATATTCTTTATGTGAGATGAGTAAAAATAACATTATAGTGTCGTCGAGGTTGAAAGGCACCTTGGGAGACCATGTAGCCCAGCCCTCCTGCTCAAAGCAAAGTGCTCAGCACCATGTCCAGTTAAGCTCTGAGTATCTCTGAAAATGGAAACTCCACAACATCACTGAACAGCCCATTACGATGTTTGACTGTTCTCACAGTAAAGGGTTTTTTTCTTACATTGAAATAATATTTCATGTATTTCAGTTGGCATCAGTGGATGGGATTATTCATCCCAGAATTCATGACTTGGCATTTATTTCCCATTAGTGTAACTTTGTGAGGTTCTTGCTGGCCCATTTCTGCAGCCTGTCAAGGTCCCTCTGAATGGCAGCACATGTCTTTGGTGTATATCCTCCCTGGGTTTTATCACCTGCAGGCTTGCTGAGTGTGTGCTCAATCCCATCATCCAGGCCATTACTGGAGGTGTTAAAACAGTGCCCCAGTAGTGACTGGTCTCTCGTTAAATACCATGCATGCAGTTACAAAGCTCTGATCCCTGTAGCTCAGTCTGCTGCACTGCTTTACACAGTCCATTCTGCTGTCTGTCTAGAAAAATGCTATGGGAAACAGTGTTGAAAGTCTTGCTAAATTCGAAGCTGACAGTATATACTGCTTTCCCATGAATGCTACAGAGTGTGGTGCAAGAGAAATATTTAAAGTTTAGTCAAGAGTGTGGTTAGAACTACTAGAACAAAAAAGTAATGAATTTTGACAAATTAAGGAAGTAGGTATCACAAAGCAGATATAAGACAGGGATGAACCTGCGTTCTTATGAATTCTGTATAAAGCACTTCAGTAGAGATTTGTTTAAAAGTTACAAAATTAATTTAAATGTGTTGTGTGCCTTCCTCTCACAAAGATTCTGTTAAATTTGAGAGAAAGGCACAAAAGCTAGGTTTTCTTACTGCCCACCCTGATAGCCTGTC